CCCATCGGTGGCATGCCTAACGTGCCACAGCTGCTAAAAGAAAAGGCAAAAGCAGAAGCACAGAGATGAGGTGCTCAGGCAATTAATGTGGAAATTCGGAGAGCCAGTAGAAGATGAGATGTGGCATACAGCAGGTGGCAGGCTCCAGAGTGCAGACTCCCATCCGGTGTGTGCCCATAATGAAGTCGATTGGAAGTTGGAATAATTTGAGTTTATGTTTGAGTTTCCGTCGAAAGGGGGGCAGGGGTGCAGTAGTGTGTTTTTAGGAAATTAACAAATGTGAATATAAAATTCAATTACCATTCAAATGATGGCACACGTGTGGCGTATGCTTGATATTTTATTTGCTTTTCTTTGGCCCATCCCCCCCCTCAGCCCCAAGTAGATGGTTAATTATTCAGCTGTTTAGATTGTTGCCTATTCACATTTTGGGGTTCAAAACACTCTCCGAACAAAGGTGAATCATGAATATTTCATTTAGGGTCTTACCGGTGTCTTTTTCTTTAAAATTTGATCAAGTGGCTGGGCACTTGAGCCTAAATAATAGAGGCGCCCCATCATGCGGCCATCATGTCCGGTGTTGCCTTGGCCATTTCAGCAGAAGGCTCAAAGCTGGAGCCAGGAGTCGGGAGTCAGGAGCCAGTTTCCCTTTCATTTGCATGTCCTTCCTGTGGATACAAGACCGTCGTTTCTCGCTTCTGTCAGATGTTTGATTGATTTGTTGGGCAATTTGCTGGCGCCTGTTTGAGGCTCGGGGTTCGAGGAGTTTCTCTTCGAATCCTGTTGAATCTGGAATCGTTTTGCTGCCACATTCATGCATGATTTATGTCCGAACATATCATAAAGTTGCCCTTCCCCATGGACTTATTGAGAGTGGGATAGCAGATTTGATTGAACTTAAGGGACGCCACTGGTCGAATCAATCACCGACTTAATGGCTTATTGTGAATAATATATTCTCCCATTGCCATTGAACTTGTCCCGTGGCCGATCAATCAAGTGTCAGTCTGCGCGCTAATTAGATGAATATGTTGCTCAACAATTGGCCACCAATTCTCACAATCCCAGCAATTGTTGGCTTACCAAACTAATACGGCTGGTGTTTGGACCTCAGGCGGAGTGCTCTCTGGGAGGTGGACAATAGATACATCTATTGTTATGCTCCACATTGCTCCCTCATTAAAGTTCTCATAATCACCCGCTGATGATGACACCCATTATGCCGCTTTTCGCTTGCCTTTCCTTTGCTCGTTTCAAGTTTTATCCTCGCTTCCGCTTTTGACCCGGCTAATTGGCCAGCATTTGCCAGAGAATTAAATGTTTGCCATTTCCCATTTTCCAGATTGCAGCAGGGAAATGCAAGCGGGTGGAGATGCGGATGGGGATGGCGATGGGGATAGGGATCTTTTTTCACTCTGTTGGTGTTGTTATGCTTTCCGGACGAATGCCTGCGCTGTCAATAAAGCAAATTGACAACTGATTAACCGACAGTCAGAGTCTGACTCTGAGTCCGAGCACAAAGTCCTTGGGGAATGTCGGGGACGAAGCAATTACAGCGATAGATATTTGATTATTAACAGTTGAACGATTGCCAGTCGATTGGGGAGGCAGAGCACTTGACTCTGTCAATCGAACCGGTTCCCGAGTGTAAGGCAAGGACTTTTGCAATTGATGGTGCATAATTATCCCCCCAGATGGGCCCCATGTGCCACACTCCGTGTCGTATGCGCAATGTTAATTGATTCTGGCCAAGGCTAAGGCTAAGGAGCCTCGGCCTCTGCAACTTATGGCTGACAATCGAATGAACAAAGCCAAAGCTAATTGAAGCCAGGCGACACATTTCTTTGACCCTTATTGAACTTTTCTGCCCTGATTTCCCTTGTTTTTCTTTTGCGAATGCAAACAAAAGCCAGAGAAAGAAGCAGCACTGATTGATTGGGTTTGTGTTACATCAGCAGGCAGCAGACGGCAAGGAAGCATTCTATTCAGTTAATGGATCAATGGCTTTTTGTTTAGTTTGCCGTCGACATGCTCGTGTACACTCACCTACCTTTCCCATTTCCTGTGACCAATCACTCCTACCGATTGGCAGAAGGCAAAGTCTTGTCTTTTAATTACAGCACGGGATTTAATTGAGAAGAAGATAAAGTAACGTATTGAAGATAGGAAGATTCTACGTATTTATCCCATTTACTTGCATCTTTAGTTTGCTTTTTTGTATAAGTCAGCTTCCCCCTGATAGAATATCATTCTACTTCTGAAACTCGTAGAGCTAACATCGATTCACATTCGATCCACAGACAAAACTTAGATATACATATATTCTCCATCGAATTGAATTGCTTTCAGCGCAACAATCAACATGGATATTCCCCAAGTGGATATGTTGGCTGTTTCGAAGAACAGTCGCGTTCAGCGTAACTTGATTCTGGGTTATGTGATTCCTGGCCTCAATGGCGTGGACTATGCCGATGTCAGCCGAATCGATGGGTTCTATCTGGATTGCCAGAAGTATCGTGACTACTATCGCGATCCGTACGGCAAAATGCCCAAGCCGGAGAGGTTCCGTCAGTATCAGGGCAAGTGCGGCGTCAGGCTGGATAATTCTCAGGGGGATATGTTGCTGCCCCCTCGATCGAGTGTCGAGCGCCTGCCCATTGTCTATCCTGTTGACTACGGCCACCCAATGGACTCGAGCAAGAGCTACAGGACATTATTGACGGGCATCTACAATCCCATCACGCACTCCGGATTCAAGCGATAGATGTCTCGAATCGCGCCTGGAACTACTAGTTATGATTAAGGGTTACAATTTTAGACAACGGATTAAATGTTAAAATTAAAGAAAAATAAAAAAAAAGTTCAAGTCTACAATTAATTATATTTGTATTAATGTTGTTTTAATGTTAAGCTATGAAGACTTTAAATGGCTGTTAAGATAGTTTATCTGTAGAGTGATAGTGTCTTGTGAAGATCTTAGAAGCAATAAATGCTTCAAGGAGTCGAAAGCGGAGCCCAAATAAAGAAGTTTTCGATGCTTAGATCCAGCATCAGCTTGGCTGGGTGCTTTCTTTTATTTGTTTTTGCTGTACGTTGAGTACAACGCTTTTCGGCATGAAGGAGGCCCTTATCTTACCCTTCATATACTCCCCTCAAATCTCATTCAAACAGACAAACCCCTAGGGTACACATCGTTTGCACACATAGAAAATTCTGATCCGCATAACAAACAAAAATATAAATAAACAAATATACCTTAAACCACTCAATTTTAACAAAAAAACAATCAAAATGATTATCCCTGAAGTTGATATGTTGGCTGTATCGAAGAACAGTCGTGTTCAGCGTGCTGCCTCGGCGGGCTATGTTCTACCTGGTCTCAAACTGGTGGACTATGGAGGTTTGGACCGAGTCGATCGATACTATAATGATTGCCAGGACTATCGGGATTACTATCGCGATCCGTATAACAAAATACACAAGCCGGAGAGGTTCCGTCACTACCAGGGCAAATGCGGCATCAGGTTGGATAAATCTTTGAATGATTTGATGCTGCCACCTGTGTGGCGCGTGGAGCGCAAGCCCATTGTCTATCCGATTGAGTATGGCATCCAAATGGACATGGACAAGAGCTACAGAACCCTGCTGACGGGTACTCACTCTGCCACTACTCACACGGCCTTCAAGCGTTAGATGCTCGAATGAACTCTTGGACTGTTACTTGGATGAGAACCGAACCGAATACGAGACTGGACAATGGAATTAATAAGCATTTAGGCGGAATAATTAAATAATTCTAGTCTAACTCTGGTGTTTGTTGTGTCCTAAAGGGGATGGTATAGTCTGAGGGGTTTCGTTGTCTTGATTTACTTTCCTTGGGTTCCACTTCCCCCCTCGCTTTGTGGCGTTTTCTACTCCTACAGACATCCTTTATGCGGCATCTGTTTAGTAAAAGATTCTCAACTAAAAATCGCTTCTGTTTGTCTCCTGTCTGGCGCTGTCTCTGCCTCTGTGCCTGTCGTTCCATGCCTCTCTCTCGTTGTTTTCCCCGCCTGTCAGGGGGTGCGCTTTTCACCCGCTTGCCGGCGTGCAAATTGCTAATGAATTTAATTCCCTCCACGACAGAGACACACGCACACGACACACACGCGACACACCCAGAGAGAGATGGGAAAAATGCGCCAGAAACGGTGACAGGGTTGCCAGCACATCTGATCTAGGCGACAAGTGAACTTTGTCTCTTGTCGGGAAATCTAACGGACAACGTGCACACAGCACACAATAACAATAACAGCTTGTTATTCGCGTACTCTTCCGCAGAGAGGGTATAACGTTGCCCAAGGGAGGTTTGTAACTCCGGTGGGGGATGGCCTCCAAGGAGATCTTCTTTAAGGGTATCTGCAGCTTCTGCTTCCCTTTTCTTTCGTGTTGATTCCAATGCAACACAGCAGTGCTGTGTACAGCAGAGTTTTAATTTGTGTTGGGACCTGCATATTAAGTAAGCTGCCAGCCAGCCAGCCAGCCAGCCACAGAGGCATTGCTAGCGCTCCTATTCATGGTCATGTTCATGTTCCTCCTTTTGCTGATTGAATTGAGGGGGCGGGGCATGCCATTCGATCCGCATCGATATGGTCACACTCGAGTCCACAGGGAGGTGCCCCTGATTAAGTATGCGCCGTGTGTGTGTATGAAAACTGCACAAAATGCAAATTGGCGCAAGTGTCAGAGATTATAGTCGATACTATCGCACCTCCTGCACGCATCGCGGACTCCGAATTTTGTATTTTCGCAGCATGGTAGCACATACATATATAATTTTGTTTTGCGAACAACTCAATTTTCATCAGCATAAATCAAAGCGCGGACACTGCAGTTCATTTGCATGACAGTCGCAGAAAAAATATCCACATAAATTGCCTTGGCGAAAATCTATTCAAACTTTGCAGACAAATCATATTTTCCACGGTCAAACTTTTTCTAACCTCCCCCCCACCACCCCCACCGCCCTTTTACTCCATTCAACTTTGTTGTTAAATTGCAAATCTCAGATGGAAACTTTTTTTTTGCAGAGCTGTAGGAATGTTTCGGGGGATTACAGACATCAGACATCAACGGGCCATAAATATTGGTATTTATACTTAGAATTCGTGATGTTTCAGGCAGTTTAAAACACAGTGCATTCCGGACTCGAAAAAGTTGTTGGTTGCTTGACAGCCGCCGAAGATAAAGGACTCGCACTGCCGGTTGACCCTGTCGAAGCGCCACATCTCGAATTCCCCCTTGCACGGCCCAGTCTCGGTCGGTGTGTCATCGCACTTCTCTATTAGAACACCAATATGGCATCATACGGGAATAGGTTCAGTTCTTCATCCAAATTATTAAATTGCTTTTGGACCATCTTACTTGCATTGTAGGCCCTGGCTCCAGCCAGAAGGGAGAGCACCAGGAAAAGAGACAGCCAGCCGGATGATTTCATGATTGTGGTTGCAGTTCCTGTTTTTCCTCCTAGCCTATTTACACTGTTGGATACGGCGGTGCTGTAACGAAGCCCCAGGTTTAACGCAATGATTTATTTGTTTGAGGTTTAGGTCAAAGATCGGGCAAAGAGGGTTCGTTCTGCTTTCCTTGTAGTGTTGGGTAAACATTGTTCAATTTAGTGTTGGGTAAACATCGTTCAATTTACTGAACTTACTGAACTCGTTCTTTTAGTTCGTTCCTGTTTGTTGATCTTAATAATTCTTTTTTGTTCATCGCCCTTTTTTGGTTCCTTTCTTTTTATTTTATCCTTCATGAAATTATCCGGCTTGCTGTCTCTCTTAATTCTATGATAGTCTAACTGTCTCTTCGCGAAAATAAACCATTGACCGTTCCCCAAACATCTACTGTCACACCATACATATACCCAAGCCCAGGCATAAGGATTCGGATAGTGGAACATGGAAGTCCCAAAGAAGGGTGACCCCCATGTTTTGCTTTTGAACAGCAATTTACCGGCTAATCAGAGAGCAGAGCTCCATTCTGTAAGCTTAAGTTCTGCAAACCATGACGATGTATCTGCCCCACTTGCCACACGATAAATCTGTGGGGAACATGCATAAATAGAGGCGGAGCTGCAACAGCAGCAGCGGGGCTAATCAAACCAATTAAAACCATAACTCAGCTGCAGGCCACCTACCTTACCGGTGCAGCACATTGTGGCAGGATACGGAAGGTTCACTCGCGCATGACGAAACCTTAAATACACTACCCACGTTCATCGAAAGCTGAAAGAGCCTTAGGGCGAACACATCTATATCCCTCAATATGAGATCATTCTGTGATTTTGTGGTGTTTTTTTATGAGGGTTCTAGGATTGGGTTTAATCTTTACACTGTTTTTGCTCTTCAATTTCAATTTAAAAGGCCATCAATTAGGGGAGGTGTGAGGTGGGAGAGAGAGAGAGAGAGAGTGGGTTGGACAGTGCGACATCGGCAAATCCACAGGCATTTAACCACAAACACTCGGCACACGACCACATACGAGTGTAGGAGAGTGTCTGCTTTGGTCTGGTCACGCCACAACCACCCCCTCATTGAGCCCTGGCCACAGAACCCCCAACAGCACACACCCATTCACCCAGCCACCCCTGCCACCCATTCTGGCTAGAGTTATATTGATTCGCCATTATGTTTTCCACATTTTGGCATCCGAAACTGATTTTTAATACCCCCAGAAATTCATTTTGGTGGCCTGGCCCCAGAGCCAGCGCTGCGTATACGCAATTTGTGTGCCCTTTTCGCCACTGGGCACCGCGCGACTCCATTTGCACTGTTCTGTGCTGTTCCGTTCCGTTCGGTTGGGGGTCAGGGTCGACGCTGGGAAGGGGTGCTAGATTAGGCCTGTGGGCTGAGGGAGGGGAGATTCGAGGGCATTTAGAGTTCATGAGCTGCACAACATTTTGGTCACGCTGTGGGTTTATTCACAGCACTAGCTGCTGCTGCAAATATGTTTTTCCAAATCGCACTACAGATTAAACAGCCATCCAGCGACCTGCTCTTCCCTTAGATTGCCCACTATTTTAACGCTGAAATTTGCACTCAATTTGTAGGAACATTACGCTGATGGCAGTTCTGGCTATTGAAGTCACTTTAGAATCGCTTTTCCTGAATGGAAAGTGGTTGAAAAGGCTGCTGTGGGTATACAGATTGTACGGAAAACCTCAGTTTATATCGAATTTTATTTTATATGCCTTTTCATTAAATATCTCTCTTTATTTTAGGGAATTTTCCACGTGAAAAGCTATTCAGACTGCAGTTTATTTCCACAAAAGCTACTATTCATCAAATACAGTTTGACAGCCACTGTATCTGGCACTCCCAGAGATAGCTTAAGCCTGGCAATGGACTGGCATTGGTTTTCACAACTCAAACACGTTCCCAAAAAGACAGACACAAAAACGGAGACAGAGAGAGCGGAGAGAGTTATTTATACGAGTGGGACTGTACTTTCCCTAAGCCATTGATACGTTAATGTATGTATGTCCCGCACTGTACCACCCAGCACCCTCTTTACGCGTATATATACGACTCGTATATTGTATCGTTTGTGTTGCGCTTAAGTTGGCTTTTTGAAGGATTTGTAACGGGCGGAGCGAGTGAGCCAGCGAGTGCCTTTGCCATGTTTATTTCCCCGCATATGAGGAGGTTTAACGGGGATTGGGGATTGCATTTATGGCAGCATTACGTATACGCACGAGTGGCACCGTGGCTTTGCTGCCAAAAATTATTATTTATTCATTTTGTTCGGGTAAATCAATGTTTTACCAATTAGCAGAAGGGCTACGTTACCCTTTTGGGGGCCATAATATATTTATTTCCAACGACAACGACAGAAACATAACACTTAATCCCGCTGTAGTGACCCTTGACCCTTGAACCTCTTCCTCGCTCGCTGCGATTAGAAGTTATTTTTTGCTCCGGCAAACCTGAGTACCCGTTAAGACCCCTATCAATATCACGACGACACACTCACGCCTTCGCCTTGGCCTCCGCCTCCGCCTCCGCCTGCGCTTCATTAGGAGAACAAACAGGACACCCATTGGCATTCCCATCTATTGACAATGTAATTAATGGAAACCCCAAACGTTTTTGGGGAGGCCAAAAGTGCAAACACAGTGCCTGACAATTGTCTGCGAATATCAGTGCGTGACTGATGCCTCTGCCTGCCTGCCGGCCTATGCAAATAGGCAAACGTGACACAACCACATCCGTTGCAGGCTCCTCTACGCTTCTCGATTCTCTCCTCTGTGTTTATTGGAAAACCCGAAAACCAAATTCAAACAAGAGCCAAGCAAATATTTATATTTGACATTTTAGACAAATGCGCGACACAGCTGGGCGCTCGGCCCCCGAAAACCCCTGCACGGAGTCACCGCATGGAACCTCCCCCAGGGGAGGCGTCACCAGTTCACCAGTTCACCAGGATCAATCAAATCAGGCAATGAGCCATATGGAGCACACACTGGAGCCACGGAGGCAGGCGCATCCACATCCACTTCTGTGTATTGGATTTCAGCAAAACTGTCACCAGAGGAAATCCAAATGAAAAATCATCGTTCATTATTTCAGTCCCAAGTGTTGACAATGGTCCTGAAGCGGCACCCAATGATGGGGGCCCCCCTGGCTAATGAGAATGCAAACATAATTAATTATAGTCCGTGAAAGTGCATCCATTGATGACCTGGAAACCTGAACGAGCTGTAAATCGATGCTAGAGCCATGGCTTTAGTTAAGTTTAAAATCCAGACCAAAGCCCCAGCCACAACATCAACAAGAAGGCCAACAGAGACCCAACCGCAACAAATCGACATCAACTTTTCAGTCAAAAGAAAGCTCAAACTTCTGTGTGTTTTACCAACGAAATCAGAAAGACAAAAGTTTTTTTTCTTCCTTTTTTCGAAAAACCGCGCTCGAAAACTTGTTCAACTTTTCCACCCACAGAAGCAGCAGAAAAAACAGAAACAGCAGGAGCCACATTAACGACGGAAACCAAGTGAAATGACAACAGCAATCGGCGCTCATAAAGTTGAGAAAGTTATGTTGTTATATTATACTGATATCGGTTGTTGGTTAAGAGGCTTCTGCTCGACCTTCCAGCATCTCCTCTTCATTCATAGGAACAAGTTTTATGTTTCGTTTGGAGAATTGATGTCGACTCCCGACTCCCAGTGACTGCGGTTTTTAAAGTCAAAGCTCAGCCGGAGAGAAAATTCCCTTCAAGTTGTCACAATGGAAATGGGATAAGGAAACGGCAGAAGCGGAGGGGGCGAAAAGCAGCCGGGTAAGTGGGTTTCGCAGGTGTGTTCCATTGTGATATAATATCATTACCGATTCTTGGAAATTATCTGCAAAGGAAAGGCGGCTTGGCACGGCACGGAACGAAAGGAAATGGAAAACGAATGAAATATTCAATTTATCATATTAGAAAGGCAATCTTTTAGCAGGAAAACTTATAAGGGGTTTTAAATAAACTCACTCGGAAATTGTTGGTGTTATTTATAGATATGCAACACAGAGAATAATCAGATTATGTAACCGAAGAATTTATTTATAATTTTCAGAAGTATGTTTCTGTCACTCAATTAATTTTTTGCTTGCGTGTAAGAACGAAACATTTCTTTATATTTTCTATGTCATTTTTTAGCGTAGCTCTCACTGTTGTGCACTAACCAACACTGTTGGGCACTATCCAACACTGTTGTGCACTAACCAACACCGTTGTGCACCTACCAACACTAATACCCAAAGTTTAAAAGTATTACTACCCATGATTCCACAGAACAAAGAGTACGAATATGTCATTAGTAATCATCCACAAAAGACCCAAACACCGGCCCTGTTCACTTTTCCACCTGCTTTCCATTAGCTCTCGTACATTTCCCAGCGGAAGGGAAGACCATAAATATTTCACATATCGTTTCTGTTGCTGTTGCCGTTGCCACCAATTAGATTGCTTCACAGGAAATATTGGGGCAAGTGGAGCGTAAGTAAAAATGGAAAATGAAAGCCCTACCCCACTCAGATCCGCAAAAAAATCATTTTCAATTTCATTTATGAAAGCAAATAAATTTTTCAATTGGTTTTATTTCCTTTACTGTTTGCCTTAACCCTCTCCCGTGCTCACTCTTTTCTCTCATTCTCATTGCCATGCCCATGCCCTTTTTCTGTGGCTCTTATTCTCCGCTTCTCCATCTGTTCTCCCTTTTTCAATTTGGGGCTATGAAACAAATAGAAATTCCAGCAGACAAAATCAACTTCTTATAAAGGTCCTTTCCTCCTTTCGTTTGAGGGAATCCTTTTTTGTGTGCCGCTCTCTCTACCCCCCGAGCCTGTGGGCAAACGGTTGATAAGAGCCTCCTCAAGGCCCGGCACACGTACAGCCAGTAAAACGGGGCGTGGTTTTACCTGTGCACCCACCCCACGTGGGACATTTAATAAGCAGCCTAGTCTCAGTCCTAGTCCTGGTCCTGGCCCCGAAACTTGGCCAATAAACTTGCTCGTGGTGGTCTGTGCATATTTCATAGC